ATATATATATATATATATATATATATATATTTGGCTTGCAGGTTTTGGTATTTAATGAATTATTTAATGCGAAGGAAGAATATGGTGCTTTCTTGCTAAATGTATCTTAGTGCAATCTATCACTTAGCTTTGTTTATCGTGGTTTTCTATTATTTATGACTAGAGAATATATATAATACTTTCGGTAACTATTAAAGGCATCTGATAATAGTTACCGAAGTTACACGTGTACTTAACAACGAGCGTGAAAATGTTCCTTATTTGCCATTCAACACTAATGGCAGGTTGGCTTCAGTTAACAGGTTGGTGTTCCGCAAAGTGCATGAAATGTTGTATTTTGGTCACTTGAGCACCTAAGTGTAGTTTCACTAACAACAATGAATTGACTACCGTGAGATATCTATATAGTCAACCACCAACTCTGAGAATTTTAGCGTACCTGTTGCCTCTAAGGAATTGAGTTGACGACTTTGATATTTTTGATATATTCATAAAGTAATAGCAATGTTTTTATTTTGGATTGGCACTAGAATTTCTTCAATGAATAAATGTCAGTCGTGTTCACTAAGGCCAACATCCCGTGAATTGTGTTATGACAAAGAGACCATTTGAAGTTATTGTTATGCCTGCCTTAATTAAGGTTTTACTGAAAGCACTCCATTTTAAATATAAATACAGCATGATGGAGGTCAGCAGATTAAAAGGATGGTACAGTCACTCTTATGTTCGCTCCTATTACATCTTACTCAATCCCTCACACTGACACCCATTCATGTTATTGCCTCCAATGTCTACATCCAATTCAAAAAAAACTTATGAAGTTCAAAGTAGGTTCTATTGGTAATTGGTATTCTTTTTCAGTGATACATGATCAAACGAAGTTTGAATTCATGATCTGAACACCCTCAGGCATTTATGACATAAGTCAGCTTTTCCCAAAATAATTGACTTATAAAAAATTGTCATTCAGAATACCAATGCTCAAGTATTTTTATGTACTTGGTTCAGAAATACAGCATGAGAAAGGTGGAAGTAAAAGTCTCCTTTTTATTGACTCAGTCTAAACAATGTTTATGTTCACAGATGTCGCGTTCAACAACCCGGTGTTCCGTTGTAAAGCACTTTCAGCAATTTTATCGGATAATTGAGACGTCGACAGATGTTCGATTTGTCCCTCATCAAAACGTGCTAGCAATTAGTTTGCTTATTGTTATTAGTGATACTATCACTAACAGAAGCCGAATTTTGACGTTTCACTTAAATACGGAAGATGTTCCGCAAGTTAAGGCTTAGTTAGCATATTCCACGGAGAAATCTTTGAAGTAATATTGATGTCTGTAATCAAGGCTAACAATTTATCACCCTGGTTCATGACCCAATCTGAACAGCATGCAAGATGAAATACTTTATTTTCATTCGCAGATGTCGCATCCAACAACTCAGCGTTCATATCTCATGGATATTCAACAACTTTACCGGATGATTGAGACGTCGACAAATGGCCAAGCCTCAATAATCTCTGTCAATGAAATGTCAGTGTTAATCTCGTTGCATCCAAAATCTGGTTACAACGCGCACGCTGATTTCACTGTGAAAGTGAGTTCCTGTTGAGCAGTTATTGTAGATCTCTTAAAGATTGGTAGGGATTTTAGTGGGCATTTATTTTTCTTGCTTCTAGTCAATCCCCAGTATACCTTTAAACCACTCCAATTCTGTATGACGTCGACGTACTGCTGATTGATTTTTGTTTGGCTTAAATGTCATAATCAGCAGCTTTAAAGTGCTTTCGAAAGATGTTGTCCTTTGGGGGTTTACGCAAAACTTACAACATCGCTGGCGTTGAGACCCGGTACATAGTTATGGCATTAAGATTCCCCTAAGCGAACAAGTTAACGTTCGTGTGTCTTATGCTGACACTTAGTTTTATTTTGCAGATTAAATGTCCCGTGTCTTATCCAAGAGAGAGTCCAGAAGTGACTTTCAAGTCACCAATCTTCCATCCCAACATCGACAATTATTTAGGCAGCGTTTGTCTAAATCTTCTCAATGAATGACTTAGGTACGTCGTGACCTTTTTATTCGACAATGGCCACGGAACATAAGGGTGTCGGCATAGAGGTCTGGACACAAAGTTATCCAGGTAGAGTTGGTAGGTGAAAAATACGAAGTACTAAGTGCAAGCTCTGCCAATAACTAGTAAATGTGAAGTTTAATCGTCATAAGATGATTGCGATTGAGAATGTCATGCTTGTTGTATCTACTGGCGCGTTGTGTGTGGGTGTCAATCAGGTTGCCTTATTGTGCATTAGAGTTATGGAAATGGATGTAGTGGATTTGAGTGTTAGTTGAACTTGTAGCTGTTACAATCTGCTGGATGTCGTGAAGTCTCTTCTCTACCTCATTGAAAATCCGAATTTTGAATCGGCAAACAACTCGTTCGCATACCTGGAAAACAGTGACCTGTTGGCAAGGAAGATGATGCGGGTGCTGGCAGGTTTGCCGGTGAATGGACAGCGGTTTGCGCCGAACAAGGCATGGTGCGAGTGGGCAGAGGCCCACGGATGCCTTCCAATTGGGGAGGAAGAGGATGACGACGATGATGATGCCAAGGGAACGAATGAGAGCAGGGCGGAGGATGGTTTTGTCAATGCCGTGCAAGAATCAGACAGTGAGCACGGCAGTATCCCTAATGACCTTGCCTCTGCCTACAAAGTAAGTACTGCGGTTTACTTATTGGCGGTCAGCCATGTTCCCCTGAGGCACACCGCTGCAGCAGAAGTAATTTTGTGTTCTAACGAATGTTCAGACAGTTTAATTTGCAACCAGTTGCCAAATCGACTTGCCATTAGTGTTTTGTTTCATACTAGTTTGCTAGTTCCTAGCTCGGTAAAAAGTCGGTTTATAAAGTCCGGTGTTTGGTGAAGTGTCTTCCCATCAACTGATTCTACTGTGTTTCCTTTTGCAGAAAGATGACAATGAAGACTTTAATGATGGTGCAGCCGTGTTCGACGAAAATGTACTGTCATTTGCAAATATGCGATGCTCCGTTGATTCAGAGAACGAATCACAAGTTTCTCAGCCCTTTGAACGCGAATACACGCCCGGATACATCGAGACCCAGCGTATTCTTATTTGGCATCCTAAAGATAGACCCAATGACAATGCCCCATCAGTGTTCTACTTCTGCGAGCTCGTTGGTAATCACTTCTATCAAGTGGAATTTGAAGACCTCTACAGCATGCTTTTGACAGGCGATGTCTTGCACTCGATGCAAAGTCATCTCAAATTGACACAAGCATCAGGTCTATGTCCGTGGTACAATTTTTTTCATCATGAGCATTATTCCTATCAGTCGAGCGCCACATCCTTCTTCGAGCTTTCGTTTTTCTTTTCTAAAACAATGTTAACGAGGCCCATATTGACCAACGACTTTTGTCCGTGGTCTCATGTGGACGGAGGAGGTATTTGGGGCATCTTGGGTGGGCTGTTTTGTGAGCGACGACGACGACGACGAAATTGGCCTGAGGGCACATCCGTGGAAAACAGTGTAGGTGGCCATGATATGGCTTTCCTCTTCAACATCAGTTCTGAAGGGGAGGATAGTGACACTAACAAAGACGAAGAAGAATAAGAGCAGGAAGTGAGAGATGAAAAAGAGGCCTTGAAAGAAAAGGCAGAATATAATGCGGCAGAGAGACTGAAACAGGTGGATGCAAATGAGGTGGAAGTGAAGGAGGATGTGGAAAAGTTGGAATCTAGTGGAGAAGCAGATTCGCTTTTGGAAGACTACAGAACGGGTGATGTTGATGGTGCTGATGAAGTGCAAAGCAACATTGTTGAATCTGAAGTTGAGGAGTTACGTTTCATGATCAGGTCAATGTTCCTGAAGACATGCAGTCATCGAGGTCTTCAGGAACATACCAACGGGTAGACCGAGATTCGAATAAGTTGAGCGACAATGGGTGTATTGCACATGACTACTTTGAGTGTGTGAAACAAATCAATACTAAAATGCAGCCACGGTGGCAATGGTTTTTCCGTCAGACACGTTGGCCTTTCCGATTCGCTCCACAGCAGAAAGTCGATGTGTCTGTGCATGAGAATCGGATCCCGCCATGGCGAGCAACTGTCGGGCGTCTGCTTTTGGATGTCTGCAATTTTTGTAAACGAAACCGCCAAATGCAAAATCTCATTCTCCTCGATCCCATGGTAATTGTTGTCGTTCTTTACGTAATTTTTACGCTCACTATGTACATCACTCAAGAATTTGCAAGTTAATGCCAAAACTGTAACTTGCAGTGTCGATATTAGTGCAAACGAATCCTTAAATCCGAGGTTATGATGAATGTCGCTTTTACTCAGCTACTTTGTTTCTTTTGCGATGTGACACATAAAATGTAGTCAGAGTAGTGTGCGTGTTGACATTGTCAGCCTGCTGGTGTGTAGCTTGAAGGGCCTGATTGCAGAAATGCAGCCAACTTATGTCTTCATTTTGCATGTTTGTTGAGCAGATGAACGGCGAATGCACTGTTTATAATTACAGGCTTTATCACCGCTATCACCGCTGCTCAATCTGATGCAACACGCCATGGAACCAAACGCCCACCTGATTGGTGTTCTGTGGATGACCCCAGTTGATGCTCTTTCTCCCTTTTACCACGTCCCTATTCCTCGTGATGATGTTGAAGGTGAGGAAGAGGTGGAGCGCCCATACCCGCGACCACTTTATCTGCGATTGCTCACACTGACAGCCTTTCTGTCTAATTGGCTTGCCTGGTTCTCTCGAATTGAGACCTATTCTTCACTTGGCACGTATCGTGTTTCGCCAGCAGCCGTGTCCGACCCAGTGGCAGGATGCGTGTTGCGACCATACACTTTGGGATGCGGTCAATCTCCCCTTATCGATCTGTGGCCGCTTTGGTTGGCTCGACGTCTGCTACTCTTCCCCTTCCATCTACCTCAAATGTGTGACCGGGGAAAGTGGCGACACTTCTTTCCCTTTACTGACGTGGACGAAATATGATGCTAATTACTTCATTCTTTTATTTTGGTTATGTCTCCTATTCTATTGTTTTAACTGCCTTCTTTGTCAATTATTTGTATGATGTCATGCTTGCACATAATAATGATCTCATGGGCCCACATTTGCAACCAGCGTTCCAAGCCCGTTGTTATAGTTCTTCTTGTAAATCGCTATTTTATTTCAAAATGCCAGGAAGACAAGGGAGAAATGCGCATGGGTTATGAGGTTCAGTGAGTTAGATCGATGACTTTGCATGTGACTGGCTGGTCATCGTGCATGTTACACGGCTTCAGCACACAGTGTAATTACCGTCCAAAATGGCGGTGACCTGGTTTGTCTTGCTTGTCAGTAATTTGAGTGAGTGGGGATACCCCCAGTGTTTTGCTCAAGAGAAGCGAATTTCTGAATAGCACTCACTAATTTTGTATTTTACCGACACTGAATGTCACAGGTGATTATTGATTGATTAGTGTGAATTTGGCACAGCAATACGACGGTCGACGTCGTTTTGACTGTCTCATCTGACTTTTTGTTTTGGCCACGTTCTGTTGTGGTGGTCAATATCATTTGGGCGCTCTCATCTACAACCATATGAGTCTGACGTGTTGGTTCAGCATCTTGGCCACGTCCTGTGGCAGTTTGAGGACCGTGCTGGAACTGTTATCGCACGTAGCGAACACATCATAGCCATAAGCAAAAGAGGGAATGAAAATGAGTATCAAATTACTCCAGTCTGCGACAGGCGTCACATTGCCTAGTGAAACTGGTGCATGTACAATTGTGACTCCTTGCTCTTTTGTGCAATGTATTCTTCATTCGTGACTAGTGCATTGGTTATTTCAATTGTACCTAATTTTTTTACATGAAAGCAGTAACGAGGTTTCACACTTTTATTTCAAGTAGAGTCACATACGTCACAAAGCCTTTGAACATTCACATTTACTAGTCCCTAGAATTCAGCTATTATTTAAAACATGCATCGTCAGGGGTTTGAGCTTGCTCACACTTTGAGAACAGTGAGGAGAGCTGAGGCAAAAGCACGACGTAACTGGTAAAACTGGAAATGGCGGATATCATGTGCGAAAAGGTGCAGACGAAGTGAGACGTTCGTTGACATTATTCGCATCCCCTTCAAAGCTACTGATCCCGGATACAAGTTTCGGCCATGGTGATACGGGATGTTGCCGGCCTAGCATCCCACAGTCGTAGTTGGACAAATCCATTTAATGTGAACTTTCGATGCATCGTATCTTAACTATGTACACATTAAACGACATCTAATGTCGGCGTAGAGTACGAACGAGTAAAGATATATTACGGATTGGTTGTGCTACCACATAGAAGGACGCACTCCATTTTCAGTTGATTTTGCACATTAACAAAATAATTTGCACAATGCCTGCAGCAAATACATCAAAGCAATAACTTGGGCTGTACCAAATTGGCAAATAACCGTCCGATGTATTATTAACATGTTGATTTGTTTGAAGCACAAATTGTAATGAATTGTACCGGAATTGAATTTCGTGGTTGTATTAAAATTTGTTTGCAAATTACGATTTATGGTTTTCAACAGACATTTTTAAGTAATACTGCATGATTGCCACGTCTGCTCCGACACTTGGTACATCTCGCTTCATGTTGTTAGGCGCCACTGACCATACACCGACATTTGTGTCTCTCTAATAAAAAAACTCCTAAAGTTGCCTCTCGTGTCGGTGTTCCACCACTGGCGTACCCAGACCCAAGTTGCTCCAGATGCTATACACCAAGGGGGATGCCACTTCTGATTTTCCCGCAGCTGTTCTTTCGATACTTTGGTCAATTTAGCGTGTCTGCTGTGCTGTAATTCAAACCGTTAAGTAAGTAATGAAATGCGCCAGTTTAGTTCCAACGATCATGTGAATGCAATCGCAAAATCGCTCAGGGACTATGCGTTCAAACGCCACAGTCAAACCAATATGAGAGTCATCTGCACGTGTCGATTGCCGGTTTCCCGAATGAATTTGCAGCGTATTTATGCATGATTATGCAATGAAGTTCACCTAAAGCCGTGGATACAGACCTACACTGCCTACACACCATGTATAACACTCATGTGAAAGTACTTTTACTCCAGGTATTCCTTTATTGAGATCAGTAAGTGTGAAGAGAGACATCAATCGAGCCAGACCCTCACGAAATAAGCTAAGACGACGACATGCGGCTTCACTCTACAGATTACTACACAACCAACCTAAAGTCTCTCTCGTTCAATGAAGTGCTTTGCATGGGAGCATGAAGGCTCTCAAATCTGTACACTACCGAACAAAACCTGAAACCTTTCCGCTGAGGCTTGACTTTGCTTAAAGCATCAACATCCTCTCACATCAACAGCCTTAACATGCCTGCATGAGTTCAATCGTGTTGTGTCGTGTGGGGTCTATGAACAAACTAGTTTACTTTCTCGTCACACAAAACGGCAGTCTAAGAAACCACAACAACTCTTAAATGAGGCTTTTTAGCAATTAAAACCGAAGGTCTATAGACAACACCTTGTGTTGCGCTAGAACATACCTTCTAGTTCCCACATTTTGTAATGACAATGGATAGATTCGTTAGTCACCTATGTTACGTCTGCTATTGCCTCTAACACTGATGCTCCGTTGGCGGTGGTGGATCAGTTCCAACCACATACTTGCTTAGGTTCCATTTTGACATAAAGGAAGTAGGTTGTTGATGCCATTTTGCAAAAAAACGATCAAAACCAACAGGACCAAGGAATTTTGACTAATGCTCCTCCAACCCTTATTTCGCTTATCTAACCAAAGACCAAAAGCCACTTGTGCCCCACGGCCAAGTGGAATGTTTGCATGCAATGAAAACGCAAGGATATTCTGCTGTGTGATTTAGAAAACGGTTTGAAAACACCTGCTGCATCTCCAACCTCTTCCTCTCCGCTTCCATGTATTACTGACTCTTGATCAAACATATTGGCTTGCATCTATATACGGTGTGGTTTTAAAAGCCAGAGATTAAGATTTACTCTGTGGAGGTTTCAATGTGTAACGGTAGCAGTATCAGATAATAATTAATAGTACATTTTACCAGACGATTAAGAGCATGGAGCTAAAGCAGTAGCTAGGGCTGTATCTACATCAGCACTTACTTCTTAACGAAATAGATTTGCATAATTGATAGTTACAAACGCAAACCTACTGCAATACGAGTGGCAACTTGTCATCGCTAGATTGCGGAACATGTAAAGAATCTTGCAAATGCGAAGGCACTTTGCCTAATTCCTAGACAAAGTGATATTAATGTACAATACTTAGTGGTAATCGCCAAGTATCCTTAGATATTTTGCTCTGATGATGGCGATGGCACCTGAAGACTCGATGAGTAGTCTGGTGAAGCCATCTACTCGGAGAGAAGAATTAAAAAATCGGACCTTAACTTGGACATTAGCATTTAACCAGTCTGGTTTTGTAGATCATCTTCAATAAGCAGCAGAATAACCGTCTTTGCTACTTTACCACTAAATAAAACTTTGACTGCATGCCCTAAGTCAGACACGTCCAACAGCATCAGTCCGCTTTCGTAGTCTCAGTTACGTCGGTCAGTTTATAAGTAAACTTGCATCACACATGTTCTTCCATTGCACCAATTCATTTTGCCACAATTAATCAGGTGAATAGCTAAAGGCAAAATGCACCTGTTCGCGTATTGGCTAGAAGCCAACCTAGCCACCACGAGGTGATGCAACTCTACGACTGGCAAAATGTTTCCCTGCGTATTAATCGAATTATTTGACTTCAATGCTAAGTACTACTACCAAGCTGTTCCCAAGCTACTTTAAAGTAAAGCCGTTTTCCTCACAGACAAAATGAAAACAAAGGACAGTGCATTCTTCGAATTAAATGTGAGCGTTATGCGTGACAGCGCAAACAACAATTTAGTCCTAGAAGCAGCGAATGTATTGGTGTTTGCATAATTTAGCCAAAGTGCGGACGCATATTTTTACGTCAGGTGTATTTTTAGCTTCTTGGAGGGTTAGACAGGTTTCAGAATTGGAGACCTAGAGATTACCTCGAATAGCAAGTAAACAAAAAAGGTTTATTCTGATAAAGGCAGCTAGAATTTCGATAAAATAGACTAACTTTAATTACCAAAATCAAATGTCATCCAAGTCAGTGAATGGAAAGAAGTGTCGCGAGATGTCCCTACCACTGCTTGGTACACAACACAGAAGGAGGTTCAGCAGTCTCCGAGCCATCCAAAGGGGCCACAAATCAATAAGTGGTGACTGTCCGCATCCCAAACTCCAAGGCTGCAACACAAATCCCGACATGGACTCACATATTAGGGATAGCTGGTGACGAGATATGCCCAGTGACGAATAGGTCTCAATTCGAGAGAACCACGCCAACCAGTTGGACACAAAGGCGGCCACAGTGAGGAATCGCAGATAACCTGGTTGCGGATAGACGTGCTCATCCACCTCTTCCTCCGCGTCCTCATCTTGACGAGGAATGGGAACGCGGTAGAAGGGGGAAATGGCGTCAATTGGAGTCATCCACAGAATACCAATCAGGTGAGCTTTTGGTTCCACGGAGTGCCGCATCAGATTGAGCAGTGGCGACAGCGGTGATAAAGCCTACCAAAACATGACTTGCAAATCAACATCGAGGACTGGAACTAAAAAAATGGATTTGTAGAACGCTAAATGTCCAAAAAAAATCACACTCCTTAACCAAAAAACAGTACACCACGTTTCAACAGGTGATCAAAAATAAGAAGGTGGAAGTTTACCATGGGGTCAAGGAGAACAAGATTCTTCACCTCACGGTGTGCAGAACAAAATCTACTGACATCTGACAGCAGTCGTCCAGCACTCGCGCGCCAAGGCGGGATTCTGATTCCATTCATGGACAGCCCTATATTCTGTTGTGGCGCAAATCGAAGAGGCCATCGTGTCTGACGAAACATCCAATGCCACCGTGGAAGCAAGTTGGCATTCATTGATACGGCTGCTTCATTAAAATCATTACGACACCTCCAGGCGTTCAGTGGAGGTCGATATTCCAAAAGTGAGCAGTGATGTGTTGTCGACGAAGTCAGTGAAAAAGCTCTATTGACAGGCGTATTTTGTAAATCATTTTCTTCGCGATCAATTTCTTCTTTTTTTGTAGCCAGTATCGTAGACCAATTCACGTGATTCGCCTCCCATTAGAAGGATTCTACTCGAGATCTGACCAAATTTTCCCCATTGGAGGGTTTTCGATAAAGAGGTGAGACAGATATTCTCCATCATTGTCGTCAAGAGAAAAATCACTTCTACAAGGATAGATTTCTTTTTCACAAAAAAAACTCCCCAAAGCGGTCTAGAGTACCGCGTCCATCCAGCATGGATCACGGACAAAAGTCCGCAGTCAACGAAGGCCTCCGTGGTTCCTTGAATGTGAACAGATTGGTCAGATTGAAGACGGAATCCGTGGCACAGGAGGGAGGGTAAGAAATGCAGTAAAAGTGGTACCAGGGACAAAGAGAGGAGGTTTGTCTGGATTCGGGGTGGACCTGCATGGCGTGCAAAACGTCGCCAGCGAACAGTGTGCTGTAGAGATCACCCAGATCACCTCGATAGTTAGGATTACCGAGGAGCTCGTTGTAGTAGAATACCGAAGGAGGTGAAGTTTCCTTGTTCACACTTGGGTGGCCAATGATAATGCGCTGGGTCTTAAAGTAGGTGCAAGAAGTAAGTCTGCGACGACGTGCCACTCAGAGAATCGAGAGAAAATCGAATTTTGGCGAAAGATGGAACAGTGTCAGAGGAAGCCTCCGAGAAGCGGCGACGGGTCTTCTCATCTGCCTCAATCTGTATACAAGTACAATTTAAGGAAATTCAGATGTGAAAACCACAAAGACACCTCTAACGAATTCCTCGTTTTGAAGCGGATTTGACAAACCCAACTTGAGCTGAACTCAGTGAAACCAAACACCTTGTCAGTAAGCAGCAAATTAATGTCCTATTTAGCACTAGTTATTAGCTTCAAACCAAGATGCTACTACGACGATTGACTTGCATCATGTAAGTAGGTTGCAACGCCAGATAAAGACTCAATGCGTTTATTCGGCTCCTGTTGGGTCTCCACGTGCACCGCCCCTCCGACGTCGTTCAAATCGTCTTCAAGCTCTTCGTCATCAACAGGCAGGCATCCATTGGCCTCTGCTCACTCACACCAGGCTTGGTTAGTTGGAAACCTCCGTCTATTTACACGCAGACCTGCCAGTAAACGCAATGTCATTTTTGTGTAAAGCTTCTCATTCGTTGCATAACTGCTCTCCTGTGACTCGAAATTTGGATGCTCAATGAAGTAGATGAGGGCTTTGACCACATCCAACAGGTAGTAACAGCTAAAATTTAAATACTTTAACCAATATTGCACAACTAACTTCACCAGTAGATTTGCAACCGCATTTTTCGAATTTGCAACAAGTGAAAATAGGGAAGTGTAAAGACCTTAACGAAAATTGCAACCGCATTTTTTGTCATAATTAAACAGTTGTGCAACTCTATTCAATTAGAAAAATTGACCCCTGTTTATGGTCATTCACAAATCGACGTCCTCAAGCAGAGGTTGAATTCTGAGTAACGCAGCACTTAAGTCTACTGCGCATTTGTCAAGGACATCACACCTGTTATTTGTGCCCGTGACTTTAAAATATATGCGCTCACTAATCCAAACATAAACGTGACGAAAAGGATGGACCAACAGACTCAATTCTTCATGTTCAATTAGGGTATTACGTACCTATGCCATTCAGTGAGAAGAATTAGGCAAACGCTACCATTACCATTGCAGGTATTGGGTTGAAAGATTGGCGTAATGAAGAGGACTTCAGGACCGGCTTTGGGATAGGCCAAGGGCAATAAATCAGAAAGGCATCAAAAAGTCTAAATGAACAAGAAAGGCATTCGCGCTATTTTTGTCAGTTATGTAATATACAACTGTTTACGGGGTCCAACAATTTTTGACGTTGTTTCATAAAACTGCATGCCTTAACAACTTGTGTTAAAGCTGTTCAGATTATCACTTACACCGTGCAGCCACTAACACCAAACCTCGCAGAATCGAACATGCACAGAAGAAAAAACCCACGGTAAACTGTTGAAGCGGACTGCAGTTACGAAACAAAACTAGTAAAAGGAACTCTTTACGCCCTATTAACGATTACTTAAACTTATGTAAGCATCAAGAAATCGTTAATTTTATCCGTATTGCCATATTAAATAAACGTGCTCTGACTATCGCAGTAATGTAACTTACTGTCTAAATTCCATGTACTCGTAATTTACGAAGCGGTCTGCATGGTATCAGAACACAAGCCGCTTCTAAAAGTGTATATATAGAACAGTCGCAATAACACTCACATTGACAGTAAACATAGCGTGTGCATTGCGACCAAATTTGGGATTCAACGATACAATCATTGACAATTAATTCACGGACACTATGGGGGCTTGACTGTCAGTCGAGGAATCAATCGCGCGATAAAGGGGCTGAATATCTTTGAGAAATGAGCGCTGATCCTTTGAATGAGTCATTCTACGAAAAAAACATTGGATGGGTCAATAATTTGCCTGGGTAGGCACGGGAACGTAGCCACAGGTTCTCTGGATACTTAAAACAAAAAAATTTGGCTTATATTCTAACCGATGCTCTAACATAACAAAGTCATTTAAAAGTCGCTTGGTCCCTATTTAAATGATGTCTTCAAAGTAGAATGCAAATAGAATTTGGTGGTGGTAAATATATTTCTGACGATTCGGATATTATAACGAAGCTAAACAATTTATCACAAAACCAAACAACTCCAACGATGCAAATTATGCTTTTAAGGTAACATGATCACGTTTAGGACGATGATCAGATTTTGTGAAACAAACTTAAATATTTGGAACGTAGAAAACCCATTTAGGCAACGTACTCAAAAAGTGCATTAGTTTGGAATTATCAAGATGCAAAATAAACATCATCATATGACTAAAATGACACACAACCTGCTGTACATACCTTATTCGAGTAAATGAGAAGACAAACGAAACTACGTCAGCCACACTTTGACACCGCTTACGAATTCCGCGGAGCGTGGTCAACGTTAACCAGAAGCGATCAAACCTCACCGGCCATTCGCAGTATAAGAAGAGGGGGGTTCACAAAGAAAATGGAATCAAGATTATGTATTGGTAGTTTAAATTCACTGCAAAACACTGCATTCTGATTTCCAGACCTGTCACTCGTGCATTGTTGCAAAAGGTCGAAAAATACTTTTTGTTCTAGGAAGCTTAATTTTCACCTAAAATATGTTTATGGCTCGCATATATAGCTACTTGTGATAAAAATTACAGGTTTGGTTTAACAATTTAAAAAAGGAATATTTTACTTATTTGTTATGCTGAAGGAGTCACGATCCTTAATACACTTTAGCTTTTGTGCTGAAAAGCCAATCGTTTTGATAGACCCTATACATGTACCCTCAGATGCTTTCTTTTTCTATGTATCTAATGCCCATTTACCATCCGGCACCTTTGGAGCGCACTCAAATCGTCCCGTTTTATTTAACTACCTCAATTGTTCACACTCTTTGAGTAAAAACAGTAAACATGCTAGTAATTTGGTCAAACCTAAATGAATTACTCACATAGCCTGTCATTGTTTTATTTCCCGTGTTCCTAGAGTCTCAAATACCTTTTGAAAGAGATGCTGCTGATGTGAGTTCGAGCAACACAGTTGGATTTTAATTTATGCACCTGAACTAGTTTTATTAATCGCCCTTTTCTAATAAAAACGAACGAGTTAATTTGCAATGCTCACAAGTTCATTTTTTAACAACGGTCTTTGCTTTTGTGTAATTGTTTTATCTGAATATCTTCCCATTGGAGTCGTTGAAATAAATACTTGATGCATGTCGAGATGAAAGACAAGCACATTTAACACATTTACGACAAACAATATTTATAAAGTCAACTTATAGCAGCCTGCTAAGATAAATCCGAATATCTCAAGACTTCTAGTTATCAACTAATTCTACGAACAAATTCCAATGCAATGATCAGTAAGTCAGTATTTTTAGAATAGGGTATTATGTCAAAAAGTTAAATGTTAAGCTAATGAAGAGTGACGTGCAACATAAAGAGCTTGACTAAAAGAACTCCTTAGCACTTGATCAGAACAAAAATCCGCTTGGAGAAAGAAGGTGTAAGCAGTAATTTCCACTGACATTTCGGGTCCGCTAATGGCAATGCTTTCCGGGAGGTTGAAATAAAACAATCCAGCAATTAAAATTGAGTAGATTTGGAATGGTGTTTGAATAAAATTAACATTCTAAGATTGCATTATGACTCCTGCCACTCGCACAAATCAGTTGATGTGAAGCCATTGTAAATTCTTAACGTATACAGGAGCACATCCAACGTGACCTGGATCCACGTTTTCGGGCTCAGATTTGAACCTGTTGACATAGATTGAGTGACTTCACATAGACAGATTTACATACTTATTTTTCGTCCAATTGATATTAATATTTGATATTGGTATTCGTACTTATCTTTGATTCAACAAAATCCATTCAACAATTTTCCGGCATTGTCAGTAAACTGATGTATCATTCTACTCTTTTTGTCCTCATTGTAGATGGGAGAAAATACCATGCCGATGGACCACTTTAAAAAGCTGCAATTCCCTAAAATTGAAGCTTTAGGTACTGAAAACATAGTCAACTAAGCCGCTTGAACTCTGAATTTCAGCAAATATAAGTGGTGTGCTATTTACAGGTTGGTCATCTTAATCGAAATCCACTGTTCTAATTCCAATTTCCGATTGATAGTTTCCTGTACTTATTTCACTGTTAAATGCTGTTTAAATTATGCAAAGTGGAAAACACCTGAACGCTTCCGAATGTTCTGCACCGTCTTCTTTTATTTGTGGGTTCAGTGTGTCATTTCGTCCAAATAACAAAGCTCTTGTCAACGTTTATTTATTTCAAGTGGCAAAGTTAGTTCCAATATCAGATATTAGCCTTTAAGAAGATGAATATACATTCGCAAAAGACACACTAGGAGATAAGAAATTAGGATTAAAAGTACGTTTATCTGTTGCAAAGCACGCATAAACTGCTTTGACCAAACATTATATTTTTGACAAATGCCTTCAAGGAGTAGCGAGCATTAAATTTATTAAACCACACATTTTAAGCGAGTATTCATGCATAAATGCACTTTGATAGAGCGCAAGATGAATTTGCCTTGTCCAGTTCTTGATGGACAGCTGATTAAATTTAAGACCATCTGTACACATGGGTGTATTTTGCAGTTAACAGGAACATAAGCAGTGGAACCAGCATGTGAGCATGGGAGGAAACAGAGACGAGAAATCGCATTTCTATTGACTTGCCCCATTGAATGCTCCTGAAAAGACGCCAGATTTTAATGTGAATTGGTCGAACTCAGAACCATTATTAGATATATATACACACACATCTCAAATTCTACCTTTACATTCAAGCGGTCAATCACGGTAGATAATGCTGACAAATGACACAATTCTGACTTTAAACGCGGTACTCAAAAATCACTTACATCGACGAATAAAAGTATTTACTAGACTTTAAGTAGTTCCAGTGTGATATCAGAAAGTAAAACTTGAAAATTGCTTAGCAAAAATTAAGCAAGAATGTCGTCTGAAGGGTTGATATTCAGCCTTATTTCTCGGAGTTTTGTGTTAGTTTATAGTGCTAAAATGAGTGGTGATGATACGCCAAGTTGACTTGTAGAATCATTTTCAACGCGTTTGCCGATTACAAATAAATATTCCACTATTGTCTTTCTACACAATGTTATTAGATTATGGAATTTGTGGCAAGAGCACTTTCGTACACATAATTTTGCAGTCCTAGACAGAAAGATGACAAATAGAAGGGATAATCCACACGTTTAATTGTCCTCATACAAACCATGCATGCTGTCAGACGTTGACACAAACACAAATTGACTAAGAATTCGAATGCCTTCATTTGAGAAGAGTTTGTGTGATGACGCAGGACGAAGTGGCTGTTTTTGCCAGACTCGAGAAAAGAAAATTTGAGCCTGTTTAGAAGACTTCAATGCGCTACAAGCAAGCAATATCTTTGAAAAAACGACTGTTTTTTTTTTAAAAAAATTATTTATACTTCTGTGCATAGTAACATAATGCGCACGTGTGATGACTAGCTTCTTCACACAGAACGATGCAGCCAGGAATGCCATAGCTGACTGAGGCGATCGCAAGTGTTTCACTAATAGCATTCTTAAATGCCACTATCATTGAACACACTTTTCTTAATTCCAACGAAATCTTTCTCATCTTATCTGCTGACAACTACAGCACTAAATTTTAATTTGTCACCAACAGGATTTAGGCACTCAAAGTCAATTCACTATTTGCGCTTCTGTCCACATAATTTTAGTAGTCCTTGACTGCAAGATGACAAATAGAAGGGATAAACTACACGTTTAATTGCCCTCGTACAGACCATGTAGGCTGTCAGACGTTGAGACAAACAGGTAAAATTAAGTAAGATCGTGCGCAGAGTGAACGGTTAGAACGCTGATGCCTTCCTTTAGGAAGAGCTTGTGTGGTGGCGCTGGACGCAATGGCTGTTTTGTCAGCGACT